TATGATGATTTGCTACCTGTCTCCCACATGCTTAAGCAAAAAAGGGTGTATTTTGGAGGGCACTGCTACCATATCAAAGGTGAAACTATATTCTACCTAATATGGTGGAGACCAAACTGCCTCTCAGTCAGTTTTACAGCCTGACATTCGCGCAAGCTGTAGCTAGCATGTACTAGCCCACAAGTCATTTCAACTAGCCGCAAAACCCTTTTTGATTAGCAGGATTGATTACTATCTTTCTCAAATTTGAATTTTCCACAAAAAACTTCACTTGTTGGGCAAGTTAAGAACAAAAGTCACTATCCCAATAGCAATATCCACTAGCCCCGGGCTATCGGACATGACTTTCTTTGCCAATGCTCTCAGTGAAATCTATCAAATTATGCTATCCTTTCCCAGCATCACATCAAGGGACAGTGGAATGTTATTGGGGTTCAGAAACAGTACACTGTGATGACTGTTAGAGAGGTGTGTAAAGAAGGTGTTTCAAGAATCTTGGCTAACAGAAAAAGATGATGATGGTGATGATTACAAGTGAAGCTGTAAGCTATAGGTTAAAAAATGATATGGTTTAAAATTTTCAAATGACCCCCTTTTTTATAGGGCATTCCTCCAGGCTCTCCTTAACTTTTTTTTTAAAAATTTATATAGTAACAATGATGATGTTAGTTACCTGAAATGAGCTTTGACCAGGTCTGAGTATATCTGTATTCTTGTTTAAGTCATTCAAGTTATCCCCATCTGCGTTTTGAACTTCCTTCTTTGTATTACTAGAGAAAATGATACGATTTGCGAGAAAAACTTAGCAAACTTAACTGACCCTTAAAAAATCGGAAAACGCAGTGAAATTATAGGTATATTTATTACTCCTACAAATTTCACTCACATCACCTTGTAGCATTTTTGAAGCACTGAAAACAAACTTTCATTTTCTTTGAGCCACGTTCCGGGAGAACCATGGAATAGGAGGTACAACCAGAACAAAACAATCGTCCACACTTCTTACAGCCATGCTGAAAATTTATGTTAAAGCTTTTAGCATTTATTATCTTTAGTCTTTAGTACTAAGGCAAGACAGAAGTTAACCTAAAATGTTGGGACGTTTGGATACGAGGTACTAGAATTCGAAATAATTCTGTTCCTGTAATGTTTAAGTATGTCTTGCCTAAAAATCATGTACCTCTGAATACAGTATATATAAGACTCACCTCTCGACGAAAGAAGCCAAATTCTTGCCCACAACCAAAACATTGCAGACCCGCCATGTTCGTTCATTTTTGAGCCTGCGTTTCAATTTGCTAGCGAACATCTTAATTTTAAAATACTTTTTGTGTAATGGAACACCAATAGTCTCTGTTGCCGTCATGTCGCATCATGGCGGAAAATCTTTTCATGGGAACAGAAAAAGAGAAAACGAACCTCCCCAAAAAGATAAAGTGGAAGAGGACGAAGATGAAGAAGAAGAGGAAGATCCGTTTGACAGCAGGATACAAAAATCAGGATGTGCCGACCTTCATTACGCATTGTTGGTAAGCCAAGAGAAAAATCGGCATTCGGGAACTGCTCTGTGTACTGACTGATACTCAGATACTGTAAGCTGTAAGGCATGATATGTGTGCTGCAAAAAGCACAGTTAACAGGTTTTGGAAATTAGAGACGTCTGTTTTAGAAAATCATTCATTTCCTGAAAAGATATTGTAGACGATGTTGGTCAAGAACCAGGACCGAGGTGGGGGAGGGGGTGAGGATGGCTGAGGAGGAGAGGGAAGGGAGTTGTGGTATCTTCCCAAAATACTTTTAGGGGTTATGTGCCCTCCCAACAGGCCAGGGACGCGTTTCAAAAGTTTGCAAGGTAGGTCAGCACTTAATAAGTCCGTAAAAACCAGAAGATAACACGGAAGGGGAAATCAGGACTCTGCCATGTGATTTTAAACATCCTAAATAGTAAGCCTCGTTCCCAGGGTTCTCTCCTACCCGAACTTCGCAGGGAAAAAACGTCAAACTTTCGATTCCGCGACAATTTCAAAAGCTTATGCTTTGCTTAAAACATTTCCATCACCAGAAAGGAAGTTGATTTGTTCCACTCTCCGCCATGTTCATACGACCTTGAGCCATAAAAATGCAGATTCTTTCGTTGCGTACTTGATTCTAAAACGCAGTTATTGAATATCTACTTTTAATAGGACTGCTTTCAAGAACATAAAGATTGGCGAAAGTGCCAGGATCATGTAAAAGCCTTCAAGGAGTGCATTGATCAGCAAAACAGACAGAAAAAGTCATAATCGGAGACGCATTTCATCATTTGGGAAGAGAAACTGATTTAACGAATCTGGATGAACTCCTAGTCGGGGAGCGAAATTCCTCAGTGCCACCTGTTATGAAGTTCGTGAACACAATCTGCTGGCGCCAGCAAACCGCAGTCCGAACGTTTACGCTCTATCAGTGACGAAAGGCTAGCTCTCAAACGCTCTTGACTGTACAAGGGCAAAAGATTTTTGACATGAAACAAAGACAAACTGAACCAAGTTCTTTTCAGGGGATTTCCAGTAAATTTATTCTCCTTCGATCGATAAGCATCCAATATTTACATCACTTATTTTTGGTATTAAATAGAGCGAAATTGCAGTATACCCCAATAACTCTATCTTTACTGCACACCTGGCGCAGCTCAGGATTTAAAGAAACAGTTGGCAATTGGAATAAAGGGGTATTTTGCAAACTTCATCGTAAATAGGAATTACATTGAAATTTTTTTTAAATATTATTATTAGTTGCAAATTTTCTTCGTCATTTTGGATCCTGCGACAAACAGTCCTCCATTCTTAACAACCCCCCCCCCCCAAAGAATATATATAAAAAACTTCATACTGTATTTCATCGAAAATAATTTTGTTCTGAAACATAAAACTAANTTCGTCATTTTGGATCCTGCGACAAACAGTCCTCCATTCTTAACAACCCCCCCCCCCAAAGAATATATATAAAAAACTTCATACTGTATTTCATCGAAAATAATTTTGTTCTGAAACATAAAACTAACAGAACTACTTCCTGCTTACGCGATGCGTCGAGGTAAATAGAGGCAATTAAACATTTTTTGTCAAATTGGTCAATGTGCAATGGGATGCCGCGCTGTTTGCACTGTTCAAAATTGTGTCGTTCATTTGTATCAACCCAGTTGAAAAAAAAGATCTTTGTGTCTAACGAAATCTACTGAACAGCATTTGGTGAGGTACTGTTTTGTAAAGTGAATAGTCTGATTCCTTTGAATGTAAAATCCAAAAGATCAAGGTTTCTGGGTAATAGAACTTCAAATAGCGCAAATTCTTGAAATTTTTTTGTCCATAGTTTCGGATCTTCTTGCGCCAGATTGCAGATTCATTCAAAGCTGTTTGGTCAGTTGTGTCTTCATATTAACAAAGATATTAGGTAATCATGAAGTGTCCTCGTCTTCTTCATCAGATTCGGCGGGTGGGACTGGAAACTGGTTTCGGTGTTCTACTGCCCACGAATTCCGCCGAGCTTTGATTTTAAACTCTCTCCATTTTTGACCCAAGCCTGAAAGAGAGAGTAGCATAAAGTCAGGTTTCCCTATGATCGTTATCGCTGAAAATGGTTACTACAGAAAGAAAACATCAACGATCGCAAAGTCTGCCATTGAGATAACGATTGTTGAGATAAACTTTAGCTCTATATGGTCGCTAGGGATTGCAAAAAACGGACTTCACTGATGGCAGCGTTTACAATAAAACAACTGCGAGCGATCGTTATCACAGCTATCGGTGATAATCTCTATGGTCGCTGCAATTATTTAGGTCTCTGGATTTTTTTAAGCGTTGGTAGCGATTCTTATAGCCTGTACTGGCTTCCACGCGAAATGAAGTCTGAGAAACTTGCGCAGAAATTCCATACTGATGACGCGACAGTGGCAGTGCGTCTGATTGGCTAAAAATTTGCTTCAACCAATCAGAAGCACTACCCAGATCTGGGCAGCGACGCGACGTCAGTATGGAATTTCTGCGCTCGTTTCTCTGACGTCATTTCGCTGGGAACCGATGCTGGCGTCGCGAAATGTAGGCTGTTTTCTCAGGAAGTGGCAGGATTACTTACCAAGGCTGGAGGTTTCTATCATTGATATTTTCCTCTCCTGAAAAGACTGTGGCAAAGAACAAAGTAGAGTGGGTTAACATTCGAAGAACAAGATTTAATTAAACTGCGCGGCAGAGCATCTAAATGAGCCATACAATTTATATCACAAGCGGCTTATGGTTAAAATTTAGGAGGAACTCGTTGTAGCCTTTATCAAAAAGCACTGAAATTCTGACATTAATATGTTAAATTCTAAACCGTAGAGGTCTCACCACCGCACACAACTTGAAATGGCAGATCCGCCGAAGTAGACGGACGGCAAGAGTCTGAAGGGTTCAACATTTCTGTTACGATGACTATGCCATGAACACTTTGGGACACGCGATGGGGGAGAGGGAGGGGTGGCGGTTGGTTGGCGCGGTAAGGGGACTTCCTGGTATTGGTTGGAGAAGGAAGTAAATGCAAGGACGGGGGAGGGAGTAAGTATTTTACCTTTTTAGGTTCTTTCTGTGCAGCTACACACATAATAGACAAAGCTTGCTCCATCGCTGTAATAAAAACAAATCAGTGTCACTCAGAGGGTGAGAAAAACATATCTCATGCGATCTCTTTATAAACTGAGACTTTTTGAAGTAATTTTAAGCAAGACTGCGGACTTTTCAGATAGTCAGCTCCCTTGTTCGGATTTCGCGTTGAAACACTTGCGGTCACGTTATTCGCTCTCTACACGGAAACCCACTCGCAGAGTACGCGGCAATTCTCCCTGCGCGAGAATCTCGCGAGTTTACGACAAAATTTTCCTGTTTGGATGAACACTGAATGACTCTTTTACGGCCGAGTTATACGTTACTGATTGTCCAGGTTACATATTGCACTCTGTATCAGCCAAACCGTGTTCAGGTAAATTCCTCACCCCAGAAACTATAAAGAGAATGAGTACAAGCTTTCGGCGCAACGATTTCTGGGATCGTATGGGTGGACAATCGTTACTTATGATTGGTTAACGGTTGCCTTCAATACCATCGACCAATCATAACTAACGTTTGTCCACCTAAACAATCCCAGAAATCACTGCATCCAAAGCATGTGCTTATTCTCCCTAGAGTTTCTGAAGTTGGGAATTACCATCATTTACACTTACTACTTTCTACGACGGTGACATCAGTGAGATATCTTAGCATATTCAAACCCGCTAATAAATAGTCCGACGTTTCGGCAACGAACACGTATCTTTGGACTTAGGATTTGGGGTAATTACTAAGAGGGTGAAATTTCTGCACAAGATGACAGTAGAAGCACTAAATACTCACTGCGAAGGCGAAGCTCAACTTTGCGCAAATTACGAAATATTCCTGCTATCTCCTACAAGAGTAAAAACACTGAATCAGCAGAGTCAAAGTTAGTACTGTCTGCTGTGAAGGAGACTAGGAAGTCCTGGGTTCTATTTCCTGTTCTCAGTAAGTACCCAGTTAGGAATAGGATTTTGATTTAAAAACAACCAATATCCGCCCCTCTCCAACATTCTCCCCAGTTTGCGCAACACATACCGCGTGTGAGCTCTTCCAATCCGGAATAGCACTCGGACATTCCTGTTTGCTGTCGGAACTGTTGCTTGATCGTGCAGTACCGTTCAGTTCTTCCTCGCTGCCGTCATATAAAGTCCTACCATAAATTCAAAATCAAACAAGCAACTTTTACTCCAAACATTTAGACAGGTTAGTAGGATTTGCATCAAAGTAACAGACAGAGAACCGTTGACATTTAAGTCAGCAATAGTTTCATCGAGACCACGCCTACTTTGGTCAAGGCAGGAGCCCATCATGTGCTCTCAGTCTAGGCTATTCTCCGTATCCGCGAGTTTCCTCGCGGAAATTTGTTTTTGTATTGCGACCTGAACTCTTTAAGGGAAGAAAGTGTTCGAAGTCGGGTTAGTTGCAAAAGTGTATTTTTTGTTTACACGAGAGCGTTCGTCTATCGAAGCGTGCGTGGCAAGCGCATAAGAAATACGGGGCACGAGATAAAACGCGCGCGAGAGAGGGACACCGACGAGGGAAGAGGTAGTTTCCTCTCAGTCTCTCCTTGCGCGCGCGCTTTCTTTTCCCGTGCGGCCAGTTCCTATTTGCATCGTGAATTTCTCACGCACCAGCCGCGACATCGTTGGGAGCAAAACAACAAAAAGTAACCTATTTTTATCTTTATATACAACATACTTCACTTTTGATAGCACTGATTCGGAAGCCAGGCGCAGCTCCACGGAGAAAGCATGTATCGACGACAACATGAGGTCTTCGACAGGCTGAAAAAGAAAAAAACAGGGCTGCTCAGCTTTGTATTTGCAACGGACGCCAATATCCGAGGCCTATAACCTCGGAGTGTCCACCAGGGCCCGGTTCCTGAAAGGCCGATTAGCACTAATCCAGGATTAAAATTTTGTTCTGTTTTTGTAATTTACCTTCCTGCCTATAGCTAAGAGTAACATTTTGTGTTATCATTACTGTATCTCGGAGTAAACGCTCAACAGTGTTTCTTTTTTTGCTCGAGTTGCAGTGTCCTTACACAAGAAAACCTTAAAAGTTGGCTTAATCCTGGGTTACAGTTAACCATCTTTCGAGAAACCGGGCCCTGGTTCTAATAAGTGTCACAGCGCGTTAGCCTTTCTATTACAAATTTCCGTTATGACAAATGCTATGACCGTATAGATAGATACCTTGTCAGTGACACCCCATTGTCTTCGACTTTGAGAAGATGCTGCTCCTCCTTTGAAATCAAACATCGCCTTTGCTGCAGAACTAGGAGTTAAGGGAGGGGAGGGAGAGGATGGTGGTGCCGCAGACACAACTGAATCAGGCGACATCGACCTCCCCTCCCCTGTTGAACAACGCGATCCCCCGGACATGTCATCGGCAGAATCACTTGGAGGTTCAAATGGGTGGCCGGCAACGGGGGGCGTGTATGGTGGCGACTCGATAAAAGGCGCGAATGGAATGAGTTTGCTTCGTAGGCTTACGCCTTGGGTTTTTGCGGACGCAATTTTTTTCTCCTCAGGTTCTGTGCCTGATGCTGTAGTAGACGCTGTGTTTTCTTCAAGAGCATCTTTGGATTCAGTGATGGTTTTGCTGTTGGACACTTCGTTGACCCAATCCTGCATGGACGATTCTTCTGGAGACGTGATTGGCGA